CCAGTTCTTTGGAACTCCTTCGCTAGTGTACTTCAGCGGCTCCGCCATCTTGGATCACCCGCGTGCAGCCGGAAGTCCGTCGGTGCTTGGGCTCAGTACCCTTTTGGATGGCGCACTTGTTGGTCCGTACGGCCTGGAGCCACCACTAGTAGGAAAAAGGAAAAAGATTGAATGGCTGAGCCTCCCAGCTCTTACCACTACTCTCGGGCTTGAGCCCGTTTCTCATGCAACGACCCGCAGCTCTCAGCTCTGCTAATTTTCTCAGGTACCTAGTCTCAGCTTTCGCCCGGGTCTCAACTCTGACCTTCAACTTGGTCTTGGTGCACTCGAGCGGATTTTTTTTCAGAACATGTATTCTTGTTCCTTGCGGCCAATTATTTCTTATCCACCGCATTTCATTAGACACGGACGAGTGGTACGCTGTACCGTATCTTTTTCTCTTTGGCCGCGGATTGGCCAGCGCACGTATCCAAATGACAGCGCCATAACCGTTACGATATCATACAATCACTTTGTTCAACTTCCAAGAAACTGCTCAAGATGCTATCATCTTTCCAATACGCCACCTCCCATAACTGCCAACACTATAATACAGCGGAGACGTGCACAGCTACCTACGCAGCGGCCGCGATGGCGAAGAAGGAGTTCCACAAGGTCTACAATGCGCAGGCCAGGCACGGCCGCATGCCCACGCAGACGCAGATCCTGCTGGCCACCATGGGGCTGGCGGCGCTGCTGCTGCTACTGGAGCTCTCCATGCTGCGCGGCAGCGACGACCTGCCGCCCGCCTACCTGGACGCGGCCATGGAGGAGGGCGACGAGTTCTACCCGGACGAGATCCTGCAGTCCGCGTTGGCGGACAACGTGGACGAGGCCGACCTGGTGCACCTCAGTCTGCTGCACGAGGCCTGCCTCACCCACAAGGACAGCGTCGTGCCCTGGACCTACGGACTCAACGGCGAGGTGACCAAGCCCAGCATGCTCATTGACAGAGACGACCCGGATCTGCTGGAGAAGATGCGACAGTGCCCCGACGTGGACATCTTCCTGCCGCTGGGCATCCGCGGCCACGGATACTGCGAGGACTCCATCGCCTACACCAAATGTGCGTTGTTGAAGAGAAGATAGAGGCGTGCAGATGGGGAGGGAGTGCTAGTACTAATAGGCTGTGTTTTGGCTGTTGCAGTTCTGGAGTCGCGGTTGCTGCCCGCGTGGGCGATTGAGATGAAGTACGTGGACAAGAAGACGGGCGAGACGTTCTCGTACCACGACCTGTGCCCGAAGACGCCTATGATCTTCTTCAACCACTACTGGGATGGAATCCCGGACTCGCCCGACTGGCCGGCGTCGAAACCACTGTACCTGATGCCGAATATTGAAATGTACGAGCTGAAGGCCGAACACTACTGGGGAGTGGACGTCGTGCTGTGCAAGACGGCCATCTGCGCTCGCCGAGTGCGGCTCTGGTACCAACAGGAGGGCAACCCGCGCAATACGAAGGTGCTCTACACGAGACATACGTCGTCGGATGTTGCAGCATTGGCTAGGAATCGACTGGGGGAAGAATCGATCAAGCCCAAGAATTGGTCCGATGTCCAGTTTATCCATGCTGTCGGCACCAGTGTGCAGAAAGGAACCAAGCCGGTGCTCAATTGCTGGCTGGGGCGCCCAGACTTCCCACCGCTGCATATATACATGCAAGAGGACGTCTACAACGGCAACATCAAGGGCTTCTACGGCGACAAGATTAAAGGCTCACAGGTGAAGCTACACCTCGGCCGCGCCAGCGCAAACGACTTCGGCAAGATGATAGCTGAGTCAGCCTTCTTCATGTGCACAAGCTTGCAAGAAGGGTACGGCCACTACATCAACCAGGCGCGAGCGAGCGGCGCGGTTATTGTATCGACTGACCTGCCGCCGATGAACGAGTTTTTGAACTCCAGATCGGGCGTGCTGATTCCAGTCTCGCGCTGGGCATTTAAGGAGCAGATGCTTGGCGGGAAATACGAAGGAGAGCACGGTCTTAAAGGCGTGGAGGGTTTTACGGCTGATCTAGGTGGCCCTGAAGTATGCGCTGCAGTAGAGAAGGTCTTGGCCATGACCCCAAACGAGCGCAAGGCAATGGCGGCCCAGGCCAAGAAACAATACTTCATCGACTTGAACTTCTTCGCGTCCAAGATGAACGAGCTGAGGGAGCTTGTGCGCGGGGGTGAGCCTCCTCGGTTACGCAAGGGGGAAGACGCCAAATAGCTCAGTTGCGTATTATGGGGAGGAAATCAATCCTGCTGGCCGCTTTATAGATCCCGCAGACGCGACGACGCTGCGGAGAATAGGTAGAGAGGGATGACGATACATTGTGTCTCGATAAGACATTCGTGTAACTACAGAGGCCGGGGAGCCTGCACGTTAATTACTACTACATCGCACCAGGCACTGGCATGTCTTGAGGCTTCTGGTTTTACCTCACGACATTTAACGTTAATGTAGTTGGTATGACATGGACACAGTTGTCCATCAGAAACAACGAGCAAGATAGGAAAAATGCGGGCGACTGGGCCAGCGCCATGGACACGAGGAAGCGTCTGCGCCAACAAAACTCAGACGACATCGTAGCTCCGGGAGAGAGTCCATCGCAGCCCGAGCACTATGTTGGCTTCTTCGATGGAGGATCGCGTGGAAATCCTGGACCAGGCGGAAGTGGAAGTGTACTCATCCAGGTCGACGAGTGCGGGGTACCACGAATCGTCTGGTTGATTCGCTGCTACGTCCTACGTGTACAAACAATTTCGCAGAATTCAACGGATTGCTACACCACGTGGACAAGCGCAAACTCAAACAGGTGCACATAGTAGGAGATAGTCAACTCGTCTTACGGATGATACGGGAGCGCAGGCGGCCAAAAGCTCGGGTGCTACAGCCTATTTATGACAGAGCACGGCGCCTAGCAGACTCGGTGCGCGTAGCTTCATGGAGACACCACTACCGTTGCCACAACAAGATGGCAGATTGTCTTGCGAACCTCGCTATGGATTCCAGACGAAGTCAGCAGGATGAACCCATGAATAGGGACCTGGTGGAACGACGATACCCGGGCGTTCTCAGCTTCTTGACGAATGACTACAGGAAATGGGCAGACACGAACACAGGACAAGAAATTCTCATGCCCTCTTCTCTCTAAGCGAAGCCACGGCTTAGCTTATAGGGACATGCACATCGTACATATCAAACCCACTCCTCTTGCTCTTGAGGATGGAAGGGGGATTAGAAGTTCGGCCACAAGGCCAGTAACTCAATACACCTCAACGTTATTAAAAAAAAGGGTTGCTGAGTCGGTTCCACGTCGCTGTTCAGCCTGGCCAAGAGGTCACGTACGTTCGATCTCTCGCGCTGCCGATGAAGAACCCTTTCATGGTGAAGATCGAGAAGGTCCCGCCGTCCCTTATCCCTATTGCCTAGGCATGCTACCTGAGTAAGTATTTGTTGCACAGCAGTGTCCATACGGCGAACCTAGTTGACCATTAACACGACCGCCTTCTCTCGTAGGATAGCTGGGTCAAACACCATGATCTATTGTCTTGAGCACAGCCACCACAATACTTACTGCCCTTCTACTACGAGACGTACCCGCATCAGTCCTTCTCTTCTGCCTGTGCCGCGTTCGTCGTGAGCACTGCCGGCTTCTCTTCGAACGGCGTGGCTTCCACGATGCCCCACTGTAGTTCTTCCGGGTTGGTGACATCGGCCTCAAACGTCCACGCAAACCTCGTGTTGATAGCCTTTCGGTCCTCAATTCCGTCTCCACCTTCAGGCGAAATCAGCAGGTGCTCCGTCACGTCGTACTGCACGCGCAGCGTGAGCCACTCGGCCTTGACCTCCTCCTCAACCCTCTCCCTGGTGTACTCGACGGCCTCCAGCGCCGCAACGTTGACGTTGAGTTGCTCCAGCACAGCCCGTCCCAGCTTGCTCTCCCCCTCAACAGGGGCCGAGGGCTTGTGTAGCAGCACCTTAACGCTCTCGGGCGTCGCCAACTGCTCCAGGAACTGCTTGGTCTCGCTCTGGTCCTGCGCGTAGAGTCTGTGGAGCACTGTATTGGCCGCGCGCTCCGCTCCGCGCACAAACTCGGGCAGATCCACGCGCGTGTGGGTCGGGAACTGGGACAGCACGTACATGGAGCTGCGCACCTCGTCGGGCGCCCCCGACACGAACACGCGCGGCTTGGCGCGACTGTAGCGCACGAAGTCCGTCATCCCGTTGAGCACGCGGCTGGCGATGGCCAAGCCCCGCATGGACAGGTACTCGTCGTCGATACCCAACCAGCCTTCGGGTCTGCTGGAGAAGTGGCGGCGGGCTGGGGACGGCCGAGCGCTGCAGCAGCGGCGCACGACGCGTGAAGAGGGACGCAGCATTGCTGCTTGGATGCTTGGGAATGAGCGGCGTCAAGGTGTCCACCTCTATTTGTACCAATCAATGGATTTATATTTGATTTTAGCCAATCGTAGATGGACGCACGCATTCGCCCAATCCGTATGCAGATCTGAGTCCACTCCAACTTGCCCTGGTGGTAACTTACCACCACTGGTAAGTAGATTGCAGTCGATACCTGCCTGCAAAATAGGATAACACCACTAGATCGCGCCTTTTGTTAGCCTTCCTGCAGAAGCTTTCACCCTCCAAGTCGGCGTGGCGGAGCTTCGAGAACGGCACCCCAGTAACGAGCGCCGACACAAACGTACCTAAGTCCATCTCCTGTATCGCACGGTGCAACCAATCGCACCAAGTGGTTGTCAACTTTTTTTTTTTTAAATATTCGAGGGTACTTGACAAGGCACTTGATAGTAGTAACCTCCATTGACCCACGATGCAGACGGAGAGGTCCGGCAGAGAGAAAATATGAGCTCTGCAGCAAACATGTATCGTGCGATGTACTGCAAATACGTGGCGTAAGGAATTGTTGCTAGTGATATTCCTCGACAAGCCGTTTGCTTCAAGCAGGTGTTCGAGCACATGGCGCAACCTGCGGTAGTTTACCGTGCACCGTTCCATTTCTAATAGCTTCACTTGATCTTTGTATTCTGACATTTCAATAGTGACATTTCAATAAAATATATTGAAATGTCACTACACGGCTTAGAAACGTTGCACTGCACTGCAAACGGCCATACATTGAGAGCTGCGACCGCGACCATGGCGACGGCGGATCTTGCGCCGCCCTACGACGACGGCAGCTCTACCGAGAGCGAGTACTACTTCGACCCGGCGGAGGAGGCGGAGGAGCTCGCGGCCAACGCGTGGGCACACGAACTGGACGCGCCGGTGGCTCCCATCCAGTCAGAAGCCGACAAAGTTGTCATTAAGCAAGAGTTTAGCGACTACAGGTCAGCGTCGGAGAATTCCGAGGGCATTGCACTTCCCCAGGGCAGCGAGTGGAGCCATGGCGCGGCAAGTGCTGCTGCATACGACGACGCAGTGGAGCGCGCGCTGGCCATGGCCAGCCGATTCGAGCGCGAGATGAGCAAGGCTCAGAAAGAAGAGGCGCTGACGGCGGACACGCTGGCCGGTAATGAGCAGGATCACGAGCAGGAGCAGGAGCAGGAGCAGGAGCAGGAGCAGGAGCAGGAGCAGGTGGAGGAGGATTCGCGTCCGGAGGTCCAACGGCAGAGCAAGGCGGTGGTATGCACGGTGAGTACAAGTGCGGAGGTGAAGGTAAAGATGAAGCCGAAGATCGTTTCGCTGAAGAGCGTGAAAGCGCTGACACCACCTGCTTCCGTGGCGAATCCAGTGGTTGTGGGGCTCAGAAGGCCACCGACGAAGGTGGTCGGAGCGCCGAGCGAATTGGAGAGAGGGCTGTCAGTAGCTCGGTCGACGTGGAAAGCCACGGGCGGTCAACCGTCTAGTCAGAAGGCAAGTCCGAAAACCAGCAACACGTCACAGGCGGAAGTTTCCTCCAGTCGCTGCACAGAGCACAGCGAGCCACAAGATAAGTCGATATCGACTCGATCAACTGAATACAGGAAGTCCCAGCCAAGACGCCATAGCAGATCTCCATCGAAACATCCAACCGAGGGTTCGAATCGGACAGATCGGAGCAAGTCGCAGGCGCGGCGTCGAAGTCCAAGATCTAGACGACGTGAAGAGAACGAGAGATCGAGATCGCCATATCGATCTACTGCTAGTCCACGATCACGACGCCATCGCTCTGGTGATAGTTCCCGAGACGAACGATCTCGCAGTCCTCCACGATATTTGCGATACGAGCGGAGGAGTAGAAGTCGTGGTCGAGACAGGGAGCGGCATGGTGGAGGGAGGCATGAGCAGCAAGATGCCACCAAAACAGATTTGGATTCGCGGCGTCCGAGCACAAGTCACGGAAACCAGCGTAATGATCGGGAAATTGAAGGATACCACCGTCAAAACAGTGAGCGCGCACAACGCCCAAGAGCTTCAACCGACAGTCGGCACGATGTGAAAGATGGAGAGTCAGCGATTCGACGCTATGACGAGCGTGGTGCTAGAAAATCAGAGTCGACTCAACCAAGACCCGCTGGCGACGTTTTGGCGAGCCCCACCGCTGGCCCAGCCACAAAGAGGAGTCCAAAGGACCCACGCGTCAGAGCTCAAGTGGGAGTGACTGCCACTCAGCACAACACGAACAAGAAACCCGCGACATTTCGCCACTTTCATGATGAGTTCGAGCGAAGAGTGCACAAGTTAAAGCTTCGTGAAGCAGATTTGAACGAGAAAGAGGCCGCAGCTCAAACTCGACGCGAATCGAGGCATTTTGGCAACAGAAGGAGGAGTATTGAAGCCGAAAAGGCTCAACTGGAAGCGCAGGATCTCGAGCGCTTCGAGAAGCTCTATGAATCGATGACAGTGTCAAAGGAGGAACTCGAATTGTACCAAACGAGGCGAGAGTTTGCCTATCGAGTCGTCTGTTATAAGCGGAGGCAAGCGGCACTGCAGGAACAAACTGGTGTATTTGGAACACCTGAAGAAACTGCGGTTCAGTGGCGCCGGCTTGACGAAGAGCGTGAGCAATTGATTCGAGAAAACAACGACTTGTTCCACGACGTGATGGGCCAGCATGAGCTGGGTCGGACTTACGAAACGCGCAGCAATACCAGCAGGCCCCGAAAACCAGAAAAGCGTCCTAGAAACTCGGACATTCCAGACGGAGAACCATTTTTGAAGCGGGTTAAACGAGGACTAACCGCTGCTCATCGACAGCTTGATGTTTCGTCAAGTTCACGTGTAGTTGTCGGCGCTTCCTTGCAACACGGGAGCGGTAGCAATCTTCCTGCTTCACAGCCTACCAACAAGCCATGGTTCCTGAAAGGGTGAGTAAGTACAGTATTGTATGGCGATCACTGTAGTAACTATTGCTTGTCAACATGTATTTTCATGTATTATCCCAACAAGTTGTTGAAATTGATGTCAATTCCAACTACAGCGAGCTGCGAGTTTCCTCGGTACACGTTGGCGTCACCAATGCGTCCAGCTGCTGGATAATTGAGCGCACAATGATCTCGGCGGACTTCTCCTTCGCAAAGCCAGGAGACTGACCCGACCACAAGGACGAGAAGGCCGTGTCTCCATTTGCCTCAGCAGCCTTCTTGAGCGCACCGAGAGGTGCTCCAGCCGTGGGGAACTCTGGCGCTGCAGCACACATGGGTCTCAGCTCTCGCATAACGCGCGTCACGAATCCTCGAGCTGGCCGGCCGGAGAAAATGTTGGTGATGGCCGTCTCCAGAGCGTCTTCCCCCGTTGCAGTCGCAGCCCGCTTCAACATTTTGCGATGCAAAGCCGACGTCTTGGTCTCATCGGCGAGCAGGAAGACGGTGCCCATTTGCACTGCAGCTGCACCAAGTGCACTAGCAGCCAGAACCCCTCGAGCGTCGCCGATTCCTCCCGTTGCAATCACTGGGAGCTTCACAGCGTCCACGATCTGCGGGACCAACGACATCGTCCCAATTTGCCGCGGGAAGTCCATGGAGCTGTTGCGGTACTGCTCACCCGAGGTGCTAGGCTTGCTACCCTCCCTGGGTAGGAACACAGCCCGATGGCCTCCTGCCTCAGCCCCCTGCGCAATGATAGCGTCGCAGCCTCGCTCCTCAAGCCACACAGCTTCGCGCACAGTGGTGGCGGACGAGATCACGAAGGCGCCCGTGTCCTTGACACCTTGCAGCATGTGTGGAGCCGGCAGGCCGAAGTGGAAGCTGACGACTTCAGGCTTGAGCTCCCGCACGATATCGAGACTCTTTTCGTCGAATGGCATCCGTTGCGCCCCCTGCGCTGTCAAGTGAGTGAGGCCCACGCCGTACTCTTCGTAATATGGAGCAAGGATATCTTGCCACTGCTTGTCCGCCTCGGGGTTGGCAGCAGGCAGCGAGTGGCAGAAGAAGTTGAGGTTGATATGCGCCGTCGCAGCGGCTCGGAAGCGCTGCACGTGCTCGCGTACAGCATCAGGAGACAGCAGAGCACACGGGATGGCGCCGAGACCTCCACCACGCGCCACTGCAATGGCGAGTTCACTGGCTTGTGCGCCGGCCATCGGGGCTTGGAACAGAGGCACACGCAGCCCCAGCCGCTGGATGATCCCAATAGCCGCCACGCCATGGCGGCTATTGGGAGCGGCTCCAGAGCTCGAGAGCTGGCGGAATCGGGAGACTTCGAAGTGAGACCGGGAGCTGCAATTGATGCACATCAAATCGTTGGATTGGATGGTTTGATGAGTGACCTAGAGAGGAGCTGATTCGTTCGTCAAGATTCGTCTTCATTGACTTGCCAGGAGCCGAGAAGCTTCTCCACCAACGTGCTGACGTCCATCTGCCATTGTCGGTGGACATCTTTGTCAGCAGGAAACCTGCACAATTTGCGTCACATGACTGTAAAGCACAGGTTGAAGTTGAACTGCACCCTCAACTTATAGCGATGAAGGCCGCCTAATGCGCAGACGCAGCAACGAGGACGCTACAATCTTGTCGTAGAGACTTCTATCTGCTGCTAGGCTAGAGGGGAGACAAGAACTTCTTGCCATTAATGCAGTGCCATGTCCTAAAACCAAGCTGGAAGGTGCCGTAAAGGCTCCCGCAGAGCAACGCCGACTACCAACCTTCGGCTCTCAAACGATGCCAAGCCAGCTTCCTGCATCTGTTGCAGTGCCAGCCAGTCTGTTGCCAGGCCAGCAACACGGCAACTTGCCGGCAACTCAGAGCGCCTTTGCCGTTCGAAAATTGGAAATGGATACTTTGGGGTCGTTCGGCACCCATATTACTCACAACTACGAAACATTGCGATTGGTCAACCCATCTCCCCCTTCCTTCAGTTTAGAGTCTAAACTAAACTTTAGACCAGGCTTGGCATTCTTCAATCGCCGCCCGTGACCACACACGATGAAGCGCGAGCTGCGCTCCGTGACGCTCAAGGCGTCGCCGCTGCCGTCCGCTCCACCGGCGCGGCTGTCCTCCAGCCACCGCCGCTCCTCGTGGCGGCTCGGGCCGCTGCTGCTGCTCTACGCGGGCGGCTTCCTGCTGCTCGAGCTGTTCCTGTTCCGTCACGCGCAGTTCTCGAGCCACCGCCGGCTCGTGGAGGTGCCCGGGGACTCGCAGCGGTTCGCGCTGTCGCCGCCGGACCTGGAGGACGCCGAGTTCGCCAAGATTCAGGTGCCGCGCTGGATGACGGACGAGAGCAGCGACGTGCCCGTGCAGGAGCGCGAACACCTGAGCTGGCTGCATGCGGCTTGTATGGCCAAGAAGCAGGCCATCATCCCGTGGCAGCACGGCGCGCCGGAGTATGATGGGCAGGAGAGGAGGCCAGAGGCTAAGGTGCTGGAGAGAGGAGACCCACGAGTCATCGAGCAACTCAAGCAGTGCCCAGACGTGGACATCTACCTGCCCGACGGCATCCGAGGACTCGGATACTGCGAAGACGCAGTCGCATTTACCAAATGTAGGAGCTGTGTCGGAGTGTGTTGTACGCTATAGGTACTGACTATCTGTGGTGGCAGTCCTGCACTCGAGGTTGCTGCCGCTGTGGGCGCTGGAGGACCATTTCTTCGACCCGGAGACAAACCGCAGCGTCATGTACTACGAGCTGTGTCCGCTGACGCCGATGCTGTTCTTCAACCACTACTGGGACTCGCGTCCGGACCGGTCCGAGTGGCCGCGCTCCAAGCCGGTGTACATCATGCCGAACATTGAGATGCGCGAGCTCACGGCGCAGGAGTATTGGAGCGTGGACGCGGTCATCTGCAGGACGCTGGCTTGTGACCAGCGCGTGAAGGCCTGGTACGCGCAGGAGGGGAACCCACGCGACGCCAAGGTCTTCTACACCAGGTTCACGTCGTCCGACTCAGCAGCCCACGCTGTTGAGATGCTCGGAGAGGAGAATGTGCGACGGAAAAACTTTGCAAAAGTACGATTCACACACACGGCTGGCTCCAGGTACGTGCTCTGGATACTCTGTATGGTTGGTGCAATATCTGACTGTTACCTTTGTGTCTTGTTGGTGCAGTCCGTACAAAGGCACCGAGCAGGTACTCGACTGCTGGTTGTCACATCCTAACTTCCCGCCTTTGGATCTATATATCCACGAAGACATCTACGGGGGGAAATTCGAAGCCACGTACGATGACGCGATTCTGGAGGCGTCTAACGTAAATCTCATTCGCAAGCGTATGGACGCCGTGGGTTTCGGGCAGGTATTGGCCGAAACGTCATTTTTCTTGTGCCCAAGCACCCAAGAGGGCTACGGCCACTATATCGACCAAGCGAGAGCGTCTGGCGGCGTGATCATCACCACGGACGCTCATCCGATGAATGAGCTCATCTCGTCCAAGGACATGGGCGTTCTAGTCAAGACTAAGCGCGAGGCCCATCCGGATATGCTGCTCGGAGGCGCGTACCAAGGCACGCACGGGCTCCGATCCGTCGATGGACTCGTGGCCAAGTTTTCAGCCGAAGATCTCTGTGAATCCGTGCAGTACGTTCTGAAGCACACCAGCCCGGCGAAGCGCGAGGCTATGGCGGAGAAAGCTCGACGGCAGTACCACGAAGACACCAAGTTCTTCGCGCAGCGCATGATCCAGCTTCGACTATTTGCCCGCGAGATGCGCAACTCGTGGGTACCGCCGGAGGAGGACATTGCAGTGGGGGATCCTGAGCGTATCAATCTCTTGCGGGTCGAGTCTTGACGGTAGACTGCGGGCAGCAGAGCACCACCAGCCGTTGGAAGATTTTTAAACAGGTCTTATGCAGGTCTGGTCTTTTTTGGTCCGTAGGACCAAAACAAGACCGAAAAAAAAATTAGCCTCCAAATGGGACATAAAAAGGACCCTACACAAAACCGGGTTTTGGAAAAACTCTATAATCAAATATGCAAACGGAAAATAGATGTATTATGTATTAAAGGGGATATTGCATGAAAAACCATACTGGACAAAACCAACCTCTGCTGTCAACGGTTAACTGTAAGTTATGCTAACCCGGCTTGTACTCTAGCTGCCCGGGTCGTCCGACTTGATGAACACCCCTGCCCCCGCGTGTTAATGATTCAGCCAAACGATAGAGTTCACACTCGGCGGATCCGTCAGCACCAACAGTCTCTCCACGGTACCAACACCGTCTTACAGGCGACTCACATGAGGCCGCAGCGCAGTCGCCATGGGCCCAACCAGCGCATCCCAACGCAAGCGAAGCGTCCAAATGGTGCCAAATCTTGGTCAGCAAGCTTCACAGGATACCATCCACTCTCACCAGGCCGAACGTCAGCCAACAGCAGCCAAAGCATACGAGAAGAAGTCGACGTCGATCTTCGGCCCCTCAGCTACCACTATATGCATATAGGCCAGACCAATTGTGGTTTTCCTTCATTTGCTGCATCAAAGGGGGCAATCGAGAAGTATATTTTGAGTAGGGGCAGAGGCTTGAAGTGCTCTGCGAAGCAGGGGTGTGAGAGACTGGCCCAATGGAATGTGGTGGGCGAGTTGCGAGCTAGCGCCCTGCTGTATGTCGATCGCTCGATCACTAGCGCTGGTCGCTGTGTCTGTGTGCTACCGCTACTTTTCCTAAAACGAACTCTCGCTACTGCTGTCTGCTGTTGTACTCTGCCTCTACAGGAAACCCCAGTAGCCTTCCACCTATGCTTCTCTTCACTGGTTCCGCTTGCTTCGTCCGAATACTCGCCACACCAGCGTGAAGTCAGACCCAGCTCTAACAGCGCCTTCAAGCAGCACATCAGCATCTTATCAATAGCACGGTCACCAAAAGCTAGGTGGAAGTGCGCCTTCACAAGATTCGCGTCAGTGTCGAGACTGTCTTTTATTTGGGGACTAAGCTCATCATTACCACGGATATCAACGGCCAACTTGACCATACAACAGTCGACATATTGCAGCTAAACAACCACTACTCAGACCGGTCCGTTTGCAGCCATCAGCCTCGCAGTGAACAGCACCAAACAAGCAGTCAAGCAAACTCGAATTCTAGTGCCAACACGGAAAAGCAACCACGACAAAGCAAGGGGACTATCGAACATTACCTTAGCATGAGCCGTCTATCAAGGGGGCTAGTCTTCACAGCCCTGATTTGCCGTGCAGTTCAAGCCTCGGCTCATATCCAAACTGAACTCCTCGATTGCCCCCTACGATGTCCTATTGAAGTAAATGGCAAGTATTCGGGCGAAGCAAGCAGAATGCAACGGATTGCCGTGAAGGGATTAAGGATACTCTAATTTCCTGCAGAGGCAGAATACAATCAAGTACTTCAAGTACCAAGTACCAAGGATCAGTGGTACATGCAGACAAGAATACATGCACGAAGATAGCAGTAGATTCAGGCACGAGGACGCCTGAGTTCGTGGAAGCTCATTTAGGAAGTCTAGCAACACCGCACAGTCCGAGCAGTGTCGACGATCCAGCGATCGACATCAGCAAGACGCTCGCTCGCACATTTCAGACATTTGTGTTGTAATCTCCAGCATTACTTCAATAGCAAATGCCCTCTATCATCTATCACGATATTTTGTATCAGAGTGAAGGGGGTCTAAAAATGGCTTGTTTCGTAGTGATATCATTTGGGTCTCGCCATCCAAACGGGACCGGTAGCGAAATCATAACGATTTTCTGTTCGGTCTCGTTTAGATGTAGGACCAAAACAGGACCAGACCTGCATAAGACCTGTTTAAAACCTTACCCAGCCGTTAAATTACCAAGTCGCAACATTTATTTCGTCTTTAGTGCTGGTTTTTCAGTCAATTCCGTGGCACCCGCTTGATGCGCATGCCGTCGATAATGGCCAGGGCGTTGCCTCTTGGGCACGAAAGCTTGGATTGCGTGAAAGTGGTCGAAGCACGCATCGTCAAGGAGCCTTGAAGGAGATCAGGATCATGTCGGGTACATGGTACTGTGGTACACTTTCGCATGGACACGTTGCCAACTAGCCGCGGTTATGCACTCCCAGCTTCGTTGAAGTGAGGACCCACACGACAGTTGGCGAGCAGTATCCGGTCCCTCAAGATCCAGCTGCACTCGCCAGGTGCGATTTTCGGTGGCAGATCCGCCACCAGACGGTCTTGCCTAAGATACAGTATTCTCTTAGCGTGGGGCTGACAGACCGCTTCGCTCATTCGACCACCGACCATTCCATTCCACAATAGACGCAGCAGCAGCAACATGAACGCGGGCGAAGGCTATCGCGGTGGAATTCCGTTCCAGCCGCTGCAACTGACGTACGAGGAGCAGGAGCGATGTCAAGAGCTGACGCTGCGGCTGCTGGACCGAACGCTGCGCAGCTACGACGAGCGGGATGCCACCCCCCACGGGACGCCGCGCCACCATTCCAACCTCGATAGTACGCGCTGGAAGCGCCACAAGACACAGGAGAACGCGTCGCTGTATTCGGAGCGGGACCACGGTGGACGCAGAGACCTCCACATGCCCGGAGATAACTGGGAGAATCCTGCTGCTACTCGCTGTGGGGAACATCCAGGCCAGCTTGGATGACGTCATGTTCGGATTGACGGTGCAGACGTTCGGGGACATGCGCGTTCGAGCTGCGTCCATTGCGTCGCATGACGTGAGCGGTGCCACGTTAGCGAAACTGTCGGGCCCCATGGAAGAGGACCCTTTTCAGAGTCTCAGCGTGATGTGGATGGTGGGCGAGCAGGGCTGGCCGCTGAGTATGCTCGTGCGGCCCAGAGACTTTGTGATATTGTCGGCGTCGGGGATTATCACGCGTGCCAATGGAGACCGGATTGGGTATGATTTAATACAGCCAGCTCAGTTGCCGCAGTTACCTGAGCTTCGGAAGCCCATGACTCGAGGCAAGTTGATGTACGGCGCGCTATACCGAGAGCTGCAGGACGGAACTGTTGATGTGTATATCCAGATGTACGTGGAGACTATGGGGCATATTCTGGATACGATCGTGATGAACGCCATGTGGATTGGAGTGCTGGGCTTTTGAGAGGCGCCGAGGCTGTCGGAGGAGAAGAAGCTGCAGTGGTGCATCCTGAACACTATGAAGACTCCGAGCAATAGTCAGAAGAGAGCGGTCTCGGGTACGTGGACGGATCTGTCGTTCTGTGGAGTCTGCAAGGACAAGCTCCGACGCCTAAGCCGCAGTGGAGATGGTCTACCAAGTGCGAATAACTCGTGTGCAGTATGTGCGGCGTTGCTGTGCTCGAAATGCCGGGTGAAAAGATCGTTCAAAGTCCTTACTGGCCACCGCAAGGGACCGCCGACGCGTAGTGTGCACGTAGTTGTGTGTCAGTCTTGTCTCACTTTCGTTCGTCAGCAAAGTGTGGCGAAAATCGCGTGGCAGCAGAATGAGCAGAGGCTGGTGCAGTCGAACGAAAGTACGGATAGTAACCGGCCGACGTGGGGGCTATTGGACGATGCAATAACCCCTGGACGCCATGACGATATTTTTCGATTTCGGAGGATTCATTTAGCTTTACGGATCGTGGAGATACACGAAGCACCTTCAGCGCTTAGATAATTTACCAATTGAACTGCACCCACTTGCGTAAATTTGGACTGTGAACTTGTTGCTGCTGGCTCAAGGGTTCTATTTCGTCGCGGGGACAGAATAGCGTGGTCTAACTGAACCCCGAGCGAATGCAGCAGTACGAATGCGGCAGCAACGTTATCGTGTTGGTCCCAGGCATATGCAAAGGTTCACTAGTGTGCCCACGTATTGTCGATGTATTAATAATTCTATGCATTTATTTATTCAAGTTCGAATCTACGCAGTCGCCGACTTCACCAAGTTGGCATACATGCCGTTTAGCTGCAGCAGCTCCTGGTGCGTACCCTGCTCATCGATCTTGCCTCCGCTCTAATGGAACCTGCACCGGTTCCGAGCACCTTGTGCCTACGAAGGATAAAATGAAGACTGAATTGATGGAGCGTTAGCTGCTCACTGCCTGAGCTCCTACCAACACTCACGGGTTCCTACCCGTTCCCATACAACGACCTGCTTTTCTCTGCTTCTCAGCTTTCGTCTCAACTGCCATGACCAGGTCTCAGATATGCATTCCAACACGCCCTCCTCGAAGAGCACTCTTCGCCTATTGCACGCTTCCAACACCGGCCAGCAACAGCAACGCCTTGTCTCTTCTTGTCAAGAGGCTTAGTGAACGTGTCGGCAGGGTTCTGCTCACCCTTCACCTTGTGCAGCTCAATAGCTCCTTTCTGCACTTGCTCCCGCACATAGTGCCAACGTAGCTCAATGTGCCGCGTGCGGCGGCGGTCGGTCGGGCTTGTAGCCATCACGTGAGCTGCTTGGTTGTCCACCCCAATCCGTAGCCGGATAGTGTGATGAGGTAGGATCTCCTGCAAGATATTACTCTCTGCAACCGCCTCCATACTTGCTTCACAAGCCGCTACATACTCGGCCTCTGCCGTGGACAAGGCAATGATCGATTTGTCGTCGTGACATCCACGCAATGGCACCGCCAGCCAGGGTAAACACAAACCCCGTAGTGCTCTTGCGTTGCTCAGGATCATTTGCCCAATCACTATCGCAATATCCTTCCAGCACCTCTTCGCTCGAAACTTTCTGCCCTCTCGAGTAGGTGATCCCATAGTTGCGTGTGCCAGCTAGATATCTCAGCACCCGCTTCAAAGTGCTCACATGCTTTGTGGTCGGCTTTGCCACAAAGCAACTCAGCTGTCCTACCCCAAAAGCCAAATCCGGTCTCGTACTGGTGGCCAAGTACATGAGCATCCCGACTGCCTCACGGTAAGGGAAGCTTGTATCCGCCACCACTTCATCACTGCTCGGCGCCAGACGCACATTCACCTCCATGGGATTCCCAACAGCATGAGCCTCACTGTAGCCAAACTTATTCAAAATCTCATTTGCGTACTTCTCCTGTCGAATTGTAATCCGCTCCGTGGTCTGCTCGACCTCAACGCCCAAGTACTGCGCCAGCTGCCCTTGGTCCTTGATCCCATACGCTTCGTTCAGTTCCTTGAACAAGCGCTCCTTGTACGGCTCGTCGTTTGTCGCTACGAGAATATCGTCGACGTAGACTAGCACGTACGCAATCGTCTCACCCTCGAAACGATAGTACAGACACGGCTCCGTCAGAGATCGCAGGTACCCGTGACCCAGAAACCACTGGTTCAGTTCCGTATTCCACTCGCGACCTGACTGCCGCAGTCCATACAATGCTTTCAGTACCACGTACACATGCCCATTCACTTTACAGGGATAGCCATCGATCGATCGTAGGTACTGCCGAATACTCAGACGAGCATTCAAGTATGCGGTGTTTATATCTCCACCAAACACATTCAGTCCCAGCTCCGCTGCTATCGCCAGCAGCAGTCGAAATGACGACATCCTAGCAACGGGGGCGAACGTCTCACGAAAGTCAATCCCGGGTCGCTGGTAATTGCCCAGTGCAACAATGCGAGCCTTGAAGCGGATCACATATCCTTGGTGGTCCGTCTTCAAGTCATACACCCACATCGTATTCACCAGCAGTGCATCCTCAGGCATCTCTTCGCCAGGAATCTCCATGATAACACCTTTGGCTTTCAGCGCTGCAATCTCCTCCATTTCGCCCATCAGAAAGAACTCTCGCCACTTAGAACGCATCATCTCACGGTGGTTCCGAAAAATCTTCACATTACTTGCTCTTATGGGTCGTCCATTCTTGTCCAGAATACGCGAGGTATTGAGCGCAGCGTTCATCACATAGTTCTTCAAGTAGCTGGGACGGCGACGCTCGTCGTACTCGCGAAGACCGGTGCGTGTCTTCTTCACATCTGTCTTTGCTGCATCTCGCTCGACGCGCACCTCGTCCGACGGAGTTTCGTCACGATGCGACCGCTTCCCGATATTCATCGTCAGGGTCGGTGGGAACATCACACTAGCGTCAATAATCTCGCCAGCCGCTGCATGACCACTCGAATGCACCCTCTTGACCGATTCGGTCTCACCCAAGTCCTCTTGCAGTGACTGAGTGCGCGATGGGTTTGCATCTCCCTCGTGCTCGTCCGGAGCCAAGACACTTGCCACAGTAACATCATCACCATTGAGAATTTCATCATCTTCCTCTTCCTCAGCATCACTATGCGCTCCTCCTACCAGCGATGACCCACACGTTCCGGTTACCGAGACGGCGTCGTCACCCCCAGCAGCACCGTCGTCTTCTTCAGCAGCGTCCTCACCGCTGTCAGTGACTTTCTCATCATCGTTCGCAGGAGTCGCAAGCGTACGAATTCCACACTTGCCTCCATCGAGGCGCTCGCCAGTGCCGCCAGTCTCGTCGGTACCACCACTATTGTCCTGCTGCTCTTCATTCACTGACTCTCCATCAACAACAGCTTGGCTTTCATCTCCCGCCTCGAGAATAACATTCTCGTCAACGGCGTCCTCAAACGTAGACTGCATTTCACCGCTTTGCTCTAGTCCCGCCACTACTGTACTCGCCCGTGTAGCCATGTTCGTATTTGAAGCCTGATCGGCATCACCAATATCACTTCCGTCGGTGTCACTGGCGTCGGTCACCGTGCGTCTGACGAATTGCAGCGACTCCAAGTCCTCGTCATCCACGTCCACTTCGTAGCGATCACGGTACATGACGTCCTCAGCCACTCTCAGATCAGGAACAAACTTAGCAGTGTGCTCGTCAGGAAAATAGACCTTACATCCGATCAGGTCTACTGCATACCCGAGCCCAAAGCCAATTCGAGCGTTATTGTGGTGCTTCTTCCGCTGAGGAGACACCGGCACGTGTACATAAGCCAGTGCACCAAACTTCCGGGTATGGTGCACGTCCGGCCGAATCCCAAACATCATCTCGTAAGGAACACCGCCTGTGCCCTTAGTGTACACACGATTCTTCACGTACACCGCGTTTCGCAGTGCTTCCGGCCATAGGCTCCGGGGGAAGCCTGCTTGCGCCGTCGTCGCCTTCGCCATGCCCTCCAGCGACTGATGAGTCCGCTCGCACAAGTTGAGTTGTGAGGATTTAGGGCAGACTTTCACATGTTCAATCCCTTGCGAATCGTACCAGGTTGTCATTTCATCGTTGAAAAACTCCCCGCCCTTATCCGTCAGCACTTGCTGCACTTTGTACAACACACCCGTGACATTACGACCCGCGTGCCGCTCGGCCCAAAGAACATACTCCTTCATGAGTCTGTTGATCACAGGACTTTGCTTGTCACTAAGCAGGTGTACCGTGACGAAACGAGAGTATCCGTCCATAATGATCAGCACGGCCTCATACCGTGTACCGCAGTGGATTAAGAGGTCAGCGTACACAACCTCGTTCGGCTCCTTGGTTGCCCGATCCAAATTCTTCCTGTACGTCTTCCTCTTCTGGTTGCCCAGATGACATGCATCGCATGTGTCCTCTTTCCGCTGAGTCAGCAGCATCCCACGCACTAGGCCTTTGTCCACCATGGTCTTCAAATATTGTGGACAAGTGTGGCACAGACGCTCGTGCCAAAGTGCCAGTGAGCCGACTCCCTCTGCAGCAGTGTAGTTGCACAGGGCACGATCCTGAGGGGTGAATTGCTCTCGCTCACCAGGGCCAATCACCTGGAACCCCCAAGTAGATTCCTGCGGAGTAGCGACAGCCACTACTCTCCCCTCTCTTAAGACGACGAAGCTTCGAGTTGCAATGTCATAGTCAAACTCAAATCCTTGAGCGTACGCCAGTCCCGGTGAAAACAATCCATACTCAGCTCCAGGGATGAAAAACACATCGTCCAGAAACATTACAACTTGTTCACCACCGACTTCTGTGGCCAATGCCACCGTTCCTACGCCCGCAATGCGTGCAGCAATGGTTGGAGTCACTCCACGGACAGTCCGTATGCCCGCCGTGTCAGCTGTGAACGACACAAAGTCCGAGCGATTCCCCGTCACATGTGAATTTGACGCAGTGTCGAAGAACCACCACCCACTGCCGTAGTCCGCAGCACCTTGATCACTGTCCTCTAGTAGTACCTCAGTACCTTCTGCACCGTGATCACTAAGTAGTTCCTCCTCACCATGTGGTTCAACGTGCTCGTCATGTGCATTTCGTAGCTGCTCCTCCACCACTAACCCCGTCACAACACCAGGATCCGCATCATCCTGCGTCGGACTCGATGAAACACTACTAGGGTACAATTTCCCCGCGGTTTTCGCTTCTGCTCAAAGTCATCAGCACCGCTTTGCTTCTTTGCCCTCTCCGGGCAATTTGCCTTGAGATGTTTATCACTTCCGCAGACATAACATAGCCGCGTCTTCTTTGACCCACTAGTCCTGCTCTGCTCACCTCCTTTGCCACTTCCATCTCGTTGCCCACCTTGGCCCCCTTGCTTCTCACTACGCTTGCCTCTGAACTCTTTCTGTCGAGCGGCCGCAGCAAGAATCAATTCTCGAACCCGCTTCTGTGTGTGGACACGCTCGGGTCCGCGCCGTAGTAAATGGAAGACTTCAACCGCTCAAACTCAATCTGGTCCGGCAAACTCTCAAGCAGCATATCCACCATTGTATTATCGGCAATAACATGCTGCAAGTCCGCCAACTCGGTCTTGAAGTTGAACATCCTGCAAAGATGGAGGTTCTTGTCTCCTCCAGGCGTCAGCTTCATGCTCCACATCTCGTTCTCCCCGCGACGAATCGTGTAGGCCTTGATGGCTTCATTCTGCTTGCCCTCGTACAGGTTGCAGAGCTCCGCCCACATCTCCGATCCGGTCTCCTTGTCGCGTATCTGCTGAAGAACGTCCGGCGGCACGGACGTACCCACCATGCGCATGATCTTGAGCTGCGCTGCGTCAAAAGCCTCCAGCCTCTCCGCACTCGCAGTCGCGAGCATCGCCCTGGTCAGGTCTCCGACCGCGATCTCCTTGAGCTTGTTCTCCTTGAACATGTTCATCATGGCCCACTTGTACGTCTGCCAATCCTTGTCGCTCCAGTTCTTCGGCACCCCTTCGTTCGTGTACTTCAGGGGGTTCGACATCCCCGAGTAGCTGCCGCCGGCAGCGTGCCTAGGGCTCATAACCCTAATGGAACCTGCACCGGTTCCGAGCACCTTGTGCCTTCGAAGGATAAATGAAGACTGAATTGATGGAGCGTTAGCTGCTCACTGCCTGAGCTCCTACCAACACTCACGGGTTCCTACCCGTTCCCATACAACGACCTGCTTTTCTCTGCTTCTCAGCTTTCGTCTCAACTGCCATGACCAGGTCTCAGATATGCATTCCAACACGCTCACCACGCAGATATTGTCCGCCTTGCGGATCGTCGACAACCGATGCGCGATGATGATCGTCGTGCGCCGCTTCAGCGCCACCACCTTGTCCAGTGCCTCCTGCACCACCTTCTCGCTCTCCGAGTCCAAAGCGCTCGTGGCCTCATCCAGCAGCAAGATGTTGGGGTTCTTCAGGATCGCACGCGCGATGGCGATGCGCTGCTTCTGGCCGCCGGACAACTGCTCGCCCTTCATGCCCACCTGCGTCTCGTAGCCGTCCGGGAACTGCGTGATGAAGTCGTGCGCGTTGGCCATCTTGGCAGCCTCCTCGATCTCCTGCTGACTCGGCTGCTCTGCCAGACCGTACCCGATGTTCTCGGCGATGGTGCCGATGAAGAGCGTGGGCTCCTGGCCCACCAGACCGATCTGTCTGCGCAGCCAGTTGAGGTTCAGGTCCTTGATGTTGTGGCCGTCCAGCAGCACGTCACCCACCACGGGGTCGTAGAACCGGGTGTTGCCTCCACCGCTCGGACCACAGAACGCCACAGTCTGACCAGGCTCAATAGCGAGGTTGTAGTTCTTGAGCACGTTGATCTCCGGACGGGTGGGGTATCGGAACGAGATGTTCTGAACTCAACACGACCCACAACCTTGGCTGGACGGAGACCATCGGAGCAGAAAGAATCGATGGGGGCGACACGGTCGCGGATAGCGAACATAGTCGATCCGGCCTTGAACGCCTTGGGTGCATCGCTCAAGAAGGTCGACGCATTGCTAATGTTTTGGATCGACATCGTGACGGCCATCAGCGTCCGCATCATCTCCGTAAATTCGATGCTTCCGTCGTTCACCTTCCTGGCGCCAAACCAGAAGATCAGCGAGAACGTCGCCATGAGGATGAAGGAGCTGAATCCCAGCGACAGACCATTGACCTGCGCCTCCTTGCGGCCCTTGCGCAGCGGCTCGGCCTGGAGGTCGTCGAAGACACCGACGGCTTTCTTCTCGATACCCAAAGCGGCCACGGTGCGGATATTACTGAGGACTTCGGACGCGTGGGATCCGGGGGCAGCCAAGTCATCGGAGATCAAGCCACTGCTCCCCATCTGCTTCAAGCGAGCAACTTGGCCCAAGAGCAGGAGCGGGATCAACGCCGTCATGATGAGGGACAACAGCCAACTGCCGAATCCGAATGAGACCACGAGAGCCGCGATCAAAGTGAAAAGAGCCTGAAACGCACGGGACTGCGACTCACCGGCGAGTAGGGAAACCTTGGTGGCATTTGTGGCGAGGTCAGCAGTCAGCGCACCTGTGGCGTTCACCTTCTCGTCGAAGATGCCCACATTCTGACGGCACAAGCCCCTGAAGTTGACGTTACGAAGGCGCGTGGTGATCTTCTCCTCCATGAACTTGAAGCAGTAAATTTGCATGAACGAAAAGATGGCAACCACAATAGCACCGACGAGGTAGAGAATGCCGTACAGCTCCATGTCGTTGTACAGTTTCGTAAGGTGAGAACTGTCACCGGAGCTCTGGTACTCTCCGTACTGCTCAGTCATTGAAGTGATCATACCCGAAACCAGAAGAGCGGACACCGGCATGGCAATGCCAGCCTCGCTGGAGCCAAGGAAGCCGATGATGAAGTAGTTCGCCTCAAGTCGGTTGAGCTTGAGCATATCCATAAAGCCGAACGGCTTCTTGTCCAAGAAGTTCTTCTCCACAGCGCTCACCGATATATCCGTCATAGCCGATACTCCGCTCAATGTATGCGTCAGCTTCGTGTTTCTCTGTTCGTTTTCTGAGTTGCACTTCTTGACTTCGTACTGCTCCTCCTGCGATCGTAGCTCCTGGACGCGGTACATGTTCTGGTAGATGCCGTGCTCAATCTTCAAAAGCTCGTCGTGTGTGCCACTCTCCATAATGTGGCCCTCGTTCAGCACCACGATCTTGTCGGCGTGGCGGATGGTGCTCAATCGGTGAACGATCACGAGTGTGGTCATATTCATCGTAGCCATCAGGTTGTTCAGCGCAGCCTGCACGATCTTCTCGCTCTCGTTATCCAGCGCGCTCGTGGCCTCGTCCAGCACCAAAATGTTCGGCTTGTGGACGATGGCACCCGCGATGGCGACTCGCTGCTTCTGGCCGCCAGAAAGAGACACTCCTTTCTCGCCCACCAGTGTGTCGTACTGCTCCGGCAACGACATGATGAAGTTGTGCGCGTTCGACAGCTTGCACGCCTCGATGGTCTCTTCGCGTGTCACGCTGTCGCCGCCCATGGCGATGTTCTCAAAGATGGTCGTGGCGAACAGCAGCACCGGCTCCTGCGACACCATGCCGATCTGCGAGCGCAGCCACTTGACGTTCAGCGTCTTCACATCCCGTCCGACGAGGTAGATGGTGCCGCTGGTGGGGTCGTAGAAGCGCTCGATCAGGGCAATCAGCGTACTCTTGCCGCCGCCACTGGCACCAGCGAATGCCAGGGTCAATGGTGACATTGTAGTCACGCAGAATTGGAGCTTCGGGGCGGCTCCGGTACGTGAAGTTGACGTTCACCGCTTCGATCTTGCCTTCACACGTGTCAGGAATGACTCCTTCGTCCTCCTTTTCTGCATCGATAGCACTCGCAGTGTCCAGGATCGCGAACAGTTCCTCGGCAGCACCCGCCGCCTTGGAGACAGCAGTCACATTGGGTGAGATCTGAGCGAGAGAGCTAGCCCCCATCAGCACGCCGAAGAACGCCGCGAAGACGTCGCCCGGAGCGGCATTGCCTTTCGAGGCCTTCCACCCGCCGTACCACAAACCAATGGAGTACATGACCCAAATGCTCGCCACGAACTTGGGGAACACCACCGACGTCATCTTGTGCAAAGTGATATTCTCCTTCTCCGCCTCAAACACCTTGCTCTCAAACTTCGCAATAGCTCTGTGTTCCCCGTTCAATGAGGCAACAATTCGAATTGATCCGAGCGTCTCCTCGGCCACTGAACCAGCCTCCACGTACACCTTCTGCGCCCAGTCCGACTTGATGCGCATCGTCTTGATCAGCCAGCTCAAGGACACAGTCATCGCCGGCATCACACACGCCATAACCAGTGTGATATCCCAGCCGCGGGCAAAACCGATGATAAACCCCACGCAGAACTGAATCGTGAACCGGAACGCGTCGCCGAGCTTCTGGCCCATGCCGTCCATGATCCTCACCGTGTCGCCCGTCAGCCGGCTGGACAACTGCAGTGCGTCGTTCTCGTCGTACCAGCTGATGTCCATGTACAGCATGTGCTTGAGCGCTTCACTCCTCAACGCCTTCATCTGCCGCTTGGCGCAGTCCCTGGAAGAGCGTTCCTGATGTTGATGTAGCTATTCATCGCCAGGTCACTCGTGCACCTGCGCGAGAAATAAACCGTAGCGACGCTATTCAGCGACCGAAGTCCACGCACAAGTGCAACGGAAGAACTACGCACCATTGCTGCTTGGTTTTACAGTCCTCCAGCCAGATGCGCAGCTTCTCACTCTTCAGAGAAAGTTTGTAGCGATACGTCGGAGCTGGCGGAGCTGCAAAAGTCGTGGTGCCATCAACCTCGACAAAATCTTGCATCGGCTCGGACTGGAGTGAACCACGGCTGAAAGGCGTCGGCGGCTTGGTGACTGGTTGGACAGCAACGTACGTACTAGCTACATCAGCTGGAGCGTCGGCGGCACGGCTGCTGTCAGTCTTCGCGAGGTCGGCCATTGCAGCTGGTCCTTTGTAGATTTCAAAATGAACATCTCACGTAAAATACGAACTTGAGGCTCAAACTGTCAGTTGGACTGGATTGATGCAATCAGTATAGCGGAGTTTTCTTCGTGAGGCTCTCAGTGATGTTGACAGGAGACACGTCAAATTATCGCGTCATCGCAGAAAACAGCGTAGATACGCTTGGCAAAGCTCGTTGGATACGAGCGTCGTGCAGATTGTCAGCAACGAGGTCTTCCTTCTGGACCTGGGATAGGCTCGAATCTCGATGTGCACGCATGAGCCTTCCATAGGTAGGAAAATGCTCTAGCAGACACTGCGCCTGGTCCTCACTCACGCCGGGAATCACTTGAAGCATCCGCAGCCACGCGTTGGCACTTGTGCTGGTAGTAGCCCCCGAGCGAGTCACTCGGAATGTTTGGTTCCTGAATCTGTAGTTATAGATAGAACGGAAGAGAGATCAGGACCGGTGGTTTCCGAGCGCGCCAGTGCAGCTCCCCACCAGTTCTGATCTCTCTCCGAGCCGAGCTACCACCTTCCGCCCCCCGCCCCCCCCCCACTTCTGTCGTGCCCGCTGATCAGCGCTATGGCGCCTCCGAAGCGTTCTACCAACAAGTCGACGAAGCGTCCCGCTACGAAAACACGGACACGGGCCGGTAAGATGTCATCAAAGTCGAAGAAGCCGAAGGCTACAACTCGAGTATCGACATCAGCCACTACTCGCCGATCTGCGCGTTCAACCAGACAGGCGACTGAACCAGGGCCACGTGCTCGTAGCGAGGCTAGCGCAGCGGTGCAAGGCAGCTCCGGAAACGATTTACCCAGCGGGGTACGGAGCCGGTCCTGCAGGAACTGAGCGAACTTCCAGTCCAACCATCCCGTACACAACAGCGAGTTGCCCCCACGGGCTATACAGAAAACGACTCGACCAAGACGGATTACGTGCGATCTAATATGGACGCACGCCGCGATTTTGACTTGCGCGAGCTGCTATCGAGTGCAAGCCATTCAACGCATGTACCTCCGTCTGAACTATCAGCGCTGGCTCAAGAGTTAGGCAGCATGCGGGCTGATATAGCGGCACTGAGATCAAGACCAGTGGCACCAGCAGCAAACAGCAGCGGCACTTCAGCCATTGGAGCGCCCCCAACACCCACAGCGCCTGCGACCATAACGGAATTAGTGTCCGAAATGGTTGTTACGTGCCGAGTTAACCGCGCTAAAGTCAGGCGCGGCGGTGTCTGCTTCGCCAGCGTTGGGCCATATTTCCGCCCCTCATGGCCCGCTCCAGGAGCGAGTCGTACTCCCTGACCATGACGGCCAACTTCCACCAGCACCGATCAGAACGATTACTAGCGCGGACTTCGGGGCATGGACCAAGAAAACTAAGTCGGAATACAACCCGCCGCCAATGCACGTGACAGCGGCGCACAAAATGTTTCCCGGTATGACCAACGGTACGTACGCTTCCCCTTGTTCACTACTTCATACGGTAAGCACGGATGAAGCGATCCAGTTCGACAAGTCAGAGGCGATCCTCATGGCTTTGGCCAGCGGCCAAATTGGACGCGATGGCGTGTGCATCCTTCATTTTGAACAGTCCAGTGCATCCAACTACGCTGCCAAAGTGAAACAGCGTCGGCTTCTTGCAGACTTCAGTGGACATGCAATGCTTCCTGTGATCAAACGATTGGAACCTGGCCAACAACCACTCACGTATGCTCACCGTCTTTTGGCAATTGAAGGTCTGGGGGTCTTTACCAGGCGCTACTGCTTCGATTTTATTAACGAAATGGTGAATCGGCTCCGCGATTTTGTCGCCAAGAACGCTCAGCATGATGAACGTGCGACGTTACCGCGTGTGATGCTGACACTTCACACCGTCGATATGTTTTTGTCCCGGGCGCTCAACCACCTTCGCAGCGATAGTCCGTCATGGTGGGCTAATTTCCGCGCAGAAGTTCAAAGAATGGATTACAACTCGACCGAATGGGTGCTACTACTCTCCTCACTGCTCACGTCGACGCCAGCGCACCAGACCACGGCGGCAAGCACGACAAACCACCAGGTATCGCCAAGGGCGAACTTCAAGTCAGCCCCACGACAGCGTCCTTGAGATCAAACCAGTTACGAACGGCTGCCAGGTTTTCCTCCAGACATCGCGGCAATTGTTCCTCGGGTCAATAGGAAGGAGCCCTGCCTCCGGGTTTTCTCCGGTCATGGATGTTATGTCAAGGGCAAGTCGTGTGGCAACGGTAAAAGGCTTCACTCGTGGCAAACACCACTTCCGGACGCTCTGGTAGAGTATATCAAGACATACTTTGCTCCTAAACCAGCAGTCTCTACTAATAAGTGAAGCTGCCCAAGGCCCACTCGTCCGTGGGGGCCTCTGGGAAACGTAGATGCTGCAATTAAGAATACATCTACAAACCTTTCGGCAGCATCCAACGGACCAAACACTCCCGGGTTACTACCTCGTTCAGCTCCTAAGGTGCTACTACACCCGGGTGAACGAAGCCCTGATTTCCCAATCACCCAACTTCCGGAGGGCGGGGCGGTCTCTCTACCCAACAATCACGAATGTTCCGCCGCATCCAGGACACGGGATCAGGCTCACAGCGCAGCTTCGATGGCATCTTGTCATGATTGTGCTGAGCAGCCTTCATTATGGATGAATCACGCGGGATTGAGATCGAATTCATCGCGTATCAATTCCCCGGTCACGTTTTCATCATCTATCACAAGCCATCGCTGGGAATCCCACACAGCCAAAATGCGGAGTTTATCTCTACAACGAGCGAAGACATGGACCGAGATTCGTCGACAAAGTCTCAACAACGCTCTGAACAAAGTGGGCTTATCGCTGCCAGTGCCGTCAGAATCATCATTAGCTGCGATCATCGATACGGCATCTAAATCGACCCTCTCGGCGTTTATACGAAAGACTGGACCTCAACTTCACGAGTTTGTCGAGCTCTACCGGTGCCTGACTCTGGATGATTATCGTCCCAACAAGTCAATCGTACCTGCTGTAATTAAGGAGTCTTGCGCTTCTTACGATCAACTCGAACGCCAACTGGACTACGCTGAAAAAGGAGTTGAAGTGAAGCTGTCGCGACCCATGCCCGACCAAACACGACGTCCAGCAAACCATGGCTCCGCGTTACAAAGTCTACCAATTCTGTTGCGCAACCTTCGAGCTGAACAAGACGCTGGTCGTGTGCTCCTGCTGGATGCTGATATTTTGGAAATCTGGCCGCACATTCAGATCAGCCCGTTTGGTGTCGTCGCCAAATCCGGAAAGGACCCAAGTGTGCACGGCAGAACGATCCATGACTTATCATTTCCACCAGGCCTGTCCGTCAATGACCACACAGACCGAACCGCACTTCCCAAACCAGCCTACGAGTCATGTGCAGCAATTGTGCATGAAATTTTACGCCATCGCCGTCTCGAGAGCCATCCTCCCAAAATTCTGACCGGGGATGTGGCATCCGCGTTTCGTCACGTTGGAATTCACAGCAAGTCCGTATACCTTTTTGCCGGCATGATCCCTGAGCTGAACTTGCTTATTATCGACCTCTGTTGTCCGTTCGGTTGGACCGGTTCGCCAAGTTGCTACGAAACTTTCGGTGGATCCATCACCCATCTACACCGGACTACCTCAATCACTACGGGCAACACCAATTTTGGCTACCACTGGGTCGACGACCACGTATGCGTGGCCGTAGACAACGAGATGAATTGCTTGGAGATTGAGCATGCGTTGCGACTGGCTATGATCAACATATTGGGCGCTGAATCTATCAACGAAGCCAAGTTCTCAGGGTGGCACCACCGATTAAAAGTGCTTGGCCTCATTTTCGATGCATCGACCTCTACTGTCTCAATCCCCCCGGAGAAATCGGAAATTCACGAAATCTTGTCTCGAACACTTACCACAAGTCATCTGAATCGATATCAGAATTCCGTTCGTTGCTGGGCTCTCTTCGGCATATTTCAACTTGTCTATGCCCCGCTAGGCCTTTCCTGCAGCGGCTTCGCCAACCTGAAAGAAAGCTGCTGCGGTATACAAAAGTTCACGTGACCGACAGCATGCGGCAGGATCTTTTGTGGTGGTGGTCAATTCTCCAACAACCAGTACTAAACCACGTGCCGATGCAATATTTTCATGGAGAACCAGCACCCGATTTCACGGTAGAAGTCGATGCTTCTGATTATGGCTGCTGTGCTCTAGACGTCACTCGCGAGCGATATTTCTGCTACCAGTACAATGAACATGAACTGGAGCAGATTGCGTTGTTTCACCGAGACTCGTCTAGTTGTTTCGACATAAAGTATCGGGAAGTTTTGAAGTGCGCCTTTGCGGCATCGGTTTGGGCCACACATTGGAGTGGAAAATCTGACGCAGAGCTGGTTCACGTTCACTTTCGTGTGGATAACATGTCAGTAGTGTCGTGGCAACAAAACCTATCATCGCCAAATCCGCTTGCTCAAGATCTGATTCGTCTTTTAAGTTGGTGGGAAGTTGAACACCGAAACCGATTTTCGGCCTCTCACATACCTGGTATCGCACATATTCGCGCCGACGCTGGTTCCCGTGCTTCCGTATCGAAGGTCAAGTCGGACTTATTCACTAATCTTGTTGCTGGTTGGACACAGGACAATCCCCCCAAATCCGCATCCACGATGACAGCACACTGGCGATGTATCTGCGCGAGCACTCCGTTGCTGATCCCACCCACGACAAGTACAAGCGGGCCTTCGGTCGATGGGAACAATGGTGCAAGCAATTTGGCTTTCCAATCTGGCTAACGCGGGTTAATACCGATCAGCAAGCGGTCATTGTCTCGGATTTTATTCTTTCGTGCACACGTTCCGGGCGCAATGGACGGCAACCGAAGAGCGGTACCATTGCAAATACACTTCATGGAATCAATCACTTTTTCAAGGCACGAGCGCTTGCGTTTCCTGTCGGCCATCCACAAGTATGCATACTCCTCAAGGGCCTTCGTCGATTGGACACTCCGGAGCAGCACAAAGAACCGGTCACTCTCTCTCTGCTCCGGGCTGTTTTCAACCGTCTCGATCTCAATTCCCCAGCGGATCAAGCATTATGGAGGGCATTGTGTCTAGCCTTCTTTTTTCTACTTCGGAAATCCGAGATATCGCAGATGGCACGCACTTCAAGTGGTTTATTTTACGTCATGGCGATATACAGCTATTTGGTCACGATGGGCGGCCGACTGGCGAACCGGCTTCGGCAGCCTCAGTATCGATTAAACTCACGGGGTCGAAGACGAATCAGAGTGGACCGCCGATAACGCGTTCACTACTGTCATCCGGAGACCTCCAGATTTACCCGGTTTTAGGAGCACTCTGTATACGAAGAGCACGCGGAAATTTGCCCGATCACTTCCCCGCTACAATATACCAGAACCGCAAGGGCGTACCCGGTTTCTTATCTCACCTGAACGTATCATCACAAGTTTGCGCGAGGTGGCTCATCAAGTGGACATCGACCCACGTTCTATCGGCACTCATTCTCTACGAGCCGGAGGTGCCACACACATGCATCGCGCCGGCATCGAAACAACCACCATTCAGCTACACGGTCGATGGGCATCTGATGCTTTCAAGCGATATACTCGCCTTTGTGAAGACTCCGTCGCTGTGATTGCCAAGCGTATGGTCACCGGATCAGCTCACAATGCATCACTCGGTTTGCCTCCAATGCTATGCCTGCTCTTTGGGGTTGCCCACAATTCTTGAGGGCCAGGCTGACATTCTAAGCTATCGAGTAAATACATTGCATTGTTCCCCATACGCACGAAGCAGAACGGAAACGAGTTGTTCCGAGGAACCGACTCCAGGAATTCCTCCAGAGCAGATGCGCGTGAAGCAGCGACAACGAACTCGCGAGTCAACAGCGCCACGTAATTTGCCGTAGCGTCGAGATCGCACGTGAACTTCGTGTGGGCCCCCACGTCCATAAACAACTGGAACGCCACTTCGTGCAAGTCTGCAAAAGAAATCATCGGGGAGATCGACGACGTACCGACTTCATCTTAAGGGTACCTTTTTGGAAACAAGGCCCGAATGGCCAAGTTAAGCTGGCCATTTGGACCTTCGTAGGACTAACGAGTCCTTCGTAGGACTAGACCAGGCCAGTGCGCCTGAAAGCATCTGTGGCAAATGCATAGTTTGGCCACACTCGTACAGTACAGGCGGAGACTCAGGCAGCACCGCAACCAGGTCACCGTGCTCAGCGTGGAGCTACGCACATGTGCTACAGGTATACTTTAAGTAACGGTACTGAACGCGCTGACTTGTCGACCTACCTTTACAAGCCATTCGCTCAGCTTACATTCAGTTTTTGTTTGTACCAGGTTTTACTGTCCTCGGTACTGACTTATGAGACCTTACGTAGGACCTCAAATCGGAGGGCGTTTTGCCAGAAAGGCACAATACTTCTTTAAACTCGATTCCTAATTGCGCCTAAGTTTTGGTTTTGGTAGTCAATCAGGATTCGAAGGTTGGCACTATGTAGTAGTAGTACTGTAATAGTGTATAGCTTTTCTTGCTTGTGAGAGCAACACACACGCGGGTTCGGGGTAACAAAACACATGTTAGCAAAACCAGATCAAGGGTTGCTTAGCCCCATTACCCGCAATAAAGCATGTTGTGGAGCTCCCTTCGGCTGCGGAGGTTCGTTTACGAAGTCGGTGGCTACGTCCCGTAACCCCGCATATAAGAACGTGCTTTAACCGCGAGTGCAATCAGTAGGTTCATCTGCGACGCCTCGAAAATCCCACGTGAGCTCGTGTGCACTGCGCGATTGTATGGCCCGTAGAAGAGAGAATCGAAAGCCGGACCGGCAGATCGCCGCTGCGGGATGCTGAGCGGACGAAGTCGCTCGTCGAAGTTGCGGTGGCCCCTTGGTCGCTGCGGTCTCTTGCAGCTACTGGATTGCTACCGTTGCCTCGGCATCTGAAAGCTCTGTTGACGGGTATTAATTACTTCCGTAAATTCGAAAGCTCGGAGCGGGGTGCTTTACACTGTACGACAGTGGCAAAGCCTTTCGTGAACGAAAAACAAAAGCTTTGTGCTGGTTTCGCTTGTACTTTATGAGCTGCCAGAAAAATTGTAGTAATCGTGAAAAAAATACTTGTACAAAAAGCATTGCCTAGCTGAGCCGAGCGCCGCCGAGCCGCGTGAGCTATGCAGCCGCCGCCATTTTGATTCCTCTTTTTTCGTGGCGGCATGAAGGTTTTACAACCGACGTCAGACCCGGGAAAACACACTGACCCGCTGTTGCCTCTATTCAGCACTAACTTTCTGTTGGAATTAAGAGCAACAGCTTTTACCAGCCCCTAGACCTAGCAACAGGCATTCCTACAAATAAAAGGTCGAGTTAGTGTTTGGGCAACAGATATTAATTAGCACCCCAACGAAGTCAACCAAAGGTGAATACAATTTTATTGCGAGTTTTTGAATGTCATACGGCTCCGTTGACACCTCTTCGCCCGCGAAATTAATCTCCCAGTAGCAGTTGTCGTCTCTAGTAAACCGAGGTCGCACCACCCCATCAAAGTTTCTAGTCGACGTGCCGCTATTGTCCTCGATCACTAGAGGTACAAGACATTCCAGTTCGTTGGAATCCTGGTTAAGCGGCCATTTTGGTCCTGCTGCCCCACCCTTGGTTGCTTGCAAGAGCGACCTGGGAGCCTCCATGCTAGGATCGACTTAACCTGAACCTCCACATTGAAGCCATCATGGATACTCATGTAGCTGGAATATGAGCGCACAGACAAATAGATCGCCTTACAGTCGCATCGATACTCCTTTCTGATACGCAGTATCAAAAATATTGTTGTCACACGAAAAGTTAGTGCTACCAAGGCAAGGTTTGGCTAAAACCAAAACAGTGATAGAACTTACGTCAGGCTTCAGCAAATTTGGGGAATCCCAACTGTGCTTAAAATCGTGGCCCTCTTAAAGCTGAAACTATGGCTTGGAATACAGCATTTCCTAACCGCACGAGGAAAACCTGCACATGAGAAACTCACCATACACGCGTGAAACCCTGGCACACGCGGAAAACCTAGGTTCAAAAGTCACACGCGGAAAACAGCAATATCACACCCTTTAATACGTTTGAACGTTCGGGGGAAATCATTTGCATCTTCCACGACTTTGTCTAGCTGAGCACGAAAAAACTAAAAGGCAATTGAATTTGGTTAGCCGACATAGTTTACCGGTGAAACAGGCCTCTTGTCTTGCCCGGCTGTTAGGCAGATCGTATAGCCACGCTGCGTCGGTCGTTTGCAGTCGTCGCCCAAAGTCCAACACCTGTAGGCCACCGCGAAGTAGCCGGAACTCTCGTCCCTATTTATTAATGTCACTACAGCTTCGTTCGTCTCAGCTCAGCTCGTCCGTCTCGTTCGCCTTGTCCGTCTCGTTCGTCTCGCTCAGCTCGTTCAGTTTGTCGGCCGTGCCTCGGTCCGTCGGTGTCCGTCACTAACCTCACCCACACGCGCGCGTTCCGGACTGTTGGGTGGCGCCGACCCCGTAGCCGTCGCCAGCCTCACCCGCACCCGTGCTCTGGTCTGTTGATCAGCGGCGGCACGAAGCCGTCCCTCGACACCTCGCACTCGCTGCTCGTCTGCTCGTCCGCAACCAACAGGGGAGAAACCTCCTGTGGCCCGCTTCGTCACTTGTCCTGACCTGCGCCCTTGGCCGCAAATTCTGTTCTGACTGCTCGCTGTTCTGCACTCTGTCGCTCTCTCACTTCTTCAATGTTGACTCGACACTGCTGTCACTCAACTCCACACTATTTGGCCCGATTTCCAACTCGCCGCTTTTTCCATACTGAGGCCAAGTCAAAGTCACCGATTTTGATTGGTCCAAATTTACGCCAACGAATCCCGATCTCGGACCTCTCCTGGGCCCTTCCTTCTCCGCTTGCACGCCACGTGCTGTATGGGGTCAACCCCACTCACGTGCCAGGCACAGCTGCCTGCTGGGAGTTCACTCGCACCACTACACTGTTACACGCCTTCATCCACCCCAGAGTCTTCCACGACTCTGCCGGCCTGGAACAACGCGTCGTATTCTCGGACTGATATCCATCGACTTCGGTCGCCAGCCTGTTTGCGCCGTTGCTGTTCGCACGGGGCGTAATTCGTATTCAAGGATGTAGTGGCCGGCTCTGTTCCGTCGTCGTCGCCTCCGTAGTTCCACCAGGAGCTCGTGCGATCCCCACCGCACCGTCCGACTCGCCACTGGTCGTCCACGTCGTTTCTTGCTGCTTGCTGCAACCGCTGTCTGGACAGGAGCTGTCGCTGCTGGAGCGGTTGTCACTGGTGCCGTGGCATCCGTCCGCTGTCCGACCGCATCTTCATGATCCAGCTGTGCCTCGATATCCGCCGGAATTCTTTGTAGTGACGCCACCGGTTGGTGATACGTCACCAAGAACGACACGTGGGCAATGCGCCTCTCCGGCTCGCTTGTCACGTCCGCGCGCTCGACCAAGAAGTTATCGTAGCCCACTGGCTCAACCACTCGCATCGGACCCAACGAATGATGTACAAATTTAGACGCCTTAGGCCCACGCGGAGGCTTAAACATCCAAACACGGTCTCCGGTACTGATCGTTCGCATGTTCCGCACTTTCCGGTTGTAGTATTTGGCCTGCCGCTCTTGTTCGCGCGTCCTCGCCATCTCTGCACACCGCCTGCTGCTTTCCATCACCGCTAGCAACTGCCGGTGGTATGTCGTCATCTCACCTGCCTCGCTTACGCTTGTACTTCTCAACAACCCGTTAGGACTTCGCAACCTTCTGCCCATCATGAGCTCGTTCGGGGACAACCTGACCGTCGAGTGCTGCCCTGAATTATCTGCATAGACCGCAAAGTCCACCCATACATCCCAGTCTCGCTGCGCTTCTTCATTCATGTAGGTAGCAACGCAATCCTTCCATGTCCTATGGAACCGCTCGACTAATCCGATCATCTGGGGTCTGTACGGCACTGGGTTGATTTGCTGCGCCTGGAGCAGGATGGCCAGTTCCTCGATCACCTTGCCCGTCAACTCAGGGGCGCCATCCGTCAACAACTCGCGAAAAGGTCCGAACTTGAGCACCACATGCTTCATCAAAAACTCGGCCACGTTCTCGGACGTGTGCTGCTTCACCGTCACCGCAACCGCTTAACGTGTAACGTACTCGAGTGCCGCAATAACGTAGCGCTGTCCGCCGTCGCTCATCGGCAAAGGCCCTGCTACATCCAATGCCCACCGGTCGCCGACGTCTCCGCCCTTAATGCTTCGAAGCGGAGGTACGATCTCACGTGGCCTTGCTTTCCGACTTCCACATTCCTGGCAACCGCGTACCCATTGCTTCACTTCCTGTAGTAGTCCTGGCCACCAATACACTTGCGCGATCCGTGCGTGGGTATGGGGAGCTCTCAAGTGTCCCGCCCACACGGAGTCATGACTCTCCTTGAAGTCAATAGGCCACAGCTCTGGCGGCAGCACCACACGCCGTCCGTTCGCGGTGTTGACCAGCACCAAGCCGTGCCGTGTCTAGATCGTCATCCCTTTGTGCTTGCCGGCGCTCACCAGCCGCTGTATTAACCGACGCTTCTTTTGCGCTGCCGCAATGTCTTCGTCCGCCAGCTGGAGCGTCTGCACGCCCACGCGCTCAACCGTGTTCCCATTTGCTGGTGTCGTCTGCATCCCGTTATCACGTTTCGTCACCGCCGACTCATTCATTACACCGTCGCCGCCGCGTATGGGCCCTTAGCGCGGTCCTTCGTCACCTGGTGTCCTCCGTCGCACCGCTGTATCCATCCGTCGCCGTTCACCTCATCGTCCTTCATCGCTGTCTCTCGTCTTCGTCACCTGCAGCTTCGGGTCGGCCGTCTCCGCCGCGCCGCTCGTCTCCATACCCGCCATGAACTGCACTTCACGCGATTCCGCCGGTGTCCTCTTCAGTGCCTCTCGTCTCGTCATGGGTGTCTCCCCGGTTCTCATTGCTGTCACCGTCGTCGGTTTCGTCGGCTTGCGCTTCGCGCTCGAGCTGGCAACTGCACGCTCGCGCTGTTTCGTAATTATCCCAGCTGGCCGTGCTTCTTGTTTTGCTGCGTCGCCGTCCAGCTGGCCGTTGCTCTCATCGCCACCGACCACGTCGCTAGCCCACGTCACTCGCTTCCGCCGTAATTCTTCACCACCATTGGTCGCCTTCTGCTGCTGGGTGTTGTCGTCGTGCTCGGCCACCACGGCATCTGCTTCGTGCCGCCCGTCATCATCTCCGCTCTCACGTAGTTGTCCCTCACTGCCTACCGCAGCAGCCACTCGCTGTTTAGCTTTCCGCCACCGGCCAATAGCCGCTAGCACCGTTGCAGTCACTGGTGCTCGTGACAAGGCGTCCGCGACCACGTTCGTCGTTCCCGGTCGGTACTGCACTTCGAAGTCAAACTCCTGCAGCGATAGCGCCCACCGGTGTAGCTTCCCCGTTAGATTTGGACTCGTCATGAGCCATTTCAGCGCTGAATGGTCCGTAATGATAGTAAAGCGGCGACCGTACAAATATGGCCGGAATAATTTGATCGACCAGACCACCGCGAGACATTCCAGCTCGGTGATCCCGTAGTTTGCCTCCGTCACGCTGTTTACCTTGCTCGCGCACGCCACTGGTTGCCATCCGTCTCCACGATCTTGCATGAGGCATGCGCCGAGCCCCACTTTGCTTGCGTCAGTTACCAACCGAAAGGGTATAGAGAAATCAGGGTAGATCAAGAGAGGTCGACTGGTCAAAACCTCCTTCACCTGCCCGAACACCGTCTGCTGCGCACTCGTCCACTCCCATTCCACTCCCTTCCGTAACAGTTTGGTCATGGGCGCCATGATGCGGCCTCGCCGTCCTTCTTACGCACCAACACGACCGGAAAACCCCACGCTCCGTCGCCTTCCTCGATCACACCGGCTGCCAGCATCTTTTTCACATTAGACTCAATAACCGAGTCCTCTGTTTGTGCCTGCCGTCGCCTCTTCAACATGATGGGTGTAGCGTCGCCCGTATCGATGTGGTGTTCTGTGCTGAGCACTGTAGCAGGTGGACAATCGCCTGTGTCTGCCGTCAGCTGCCGATACACACGCAACAGCCGCACGATCATCGCTCTGCTCTCGTCGTCCTCGGTGCCGATGTGTACGTCCTGCTCATTTTTCAGCGGCCCGTCGCTACCGCCCAATTCATTCAACCACTCATTGATCCGTTCACGCCGCAGCTCGCCATTCATTTGCAATACAGAGAGTAGCGGCACTAAGAAAGGGTCAACAGCTTATAATTCCGACAACACTTAAATATTGAATTATACAGGGCCTCGATTTAGGTACTGAGTTTGTCAAAGTGGTGTGGCATACACACAGCAGTAGAAGTTCCCGCGCATTTTTCAAAATCCAAGGACGGAGCAGAGTGACTCCGTGCAGACGAAGTGGCCAGCCACTGCGTGGCATCATCGGCCGTTGCGCTCCAGCGCCCCAGAGCTCCCGTCACACCTACTTTCTCGTCCCCATTGCCCCGCAAACTGCCGCTAAGGAAGATCATGAGCGCCTGCAGGTTGATGCCGGGGTGTTGTCCAATGCACATGTTGGGTTTGCACAAGCTCAGCGAAATGAAACACACCGCCGAGACGTAGCTACAGTAATGTGCGGTGGCCATGGACATGCAGGGCGTTGTGGTGAGTCGCAGCCAGTTCATTTGAAGGTCATGCGCCTCAGGATGACGAGTACGACGACGATGCCAGTGCCTGTAGCGTCGAAGTCCATCGTCGATCGGGCCATACCTAATGTGTTTCATTTATTTCGTTAAGTCAATACGTTTAAAGCTCCGTAAGATTTGATTTGACTTGATTATTGTATATAACTTCAGTACTTTAATCGTTGAACCCTTTCTTATTGCCGCTACTCTCTGTAGCTCTACGCTACTGTCGAGCGGTATCCACTACCCGAGCTCTTGCCTCGCACACAATCGCATTGGTCCATGCTTCGCATTTACCCCCGGTACTATCGCCTTGCCGTTCTGGACCTTCGTTACGGTCACCGCCAGCATCACCGCGCCGGTGTACTTCGTAGGCAGGAAGACGCCCACTTCTCCATCATTTGCCCCTACCGACACCTCGACTGGTGTCACTGCGCTCGCGCCAATCTCTGTCCGTCGCACCATTCGTACAGCGGCTACACGTGCTCCGTTAGCGTCACACCTTGTTCTGAACGGGATGAACACTGCTCGTTCCGCCGTAGTGTAGCGAATTTCATTCCTGTCGAAGTCCATGGTCGCTCCATGTCCACACATAAAGTCGACACCAAGTAGAAACAAGTCCGTACACCCAGACACAATACATGCCTCAACGCGAATGATCTCACCAAAGACACTGCGCATGTGGAACTCCCACACACCCATTACGTTCAACAAGAAGCCACCAATGCCCTCTACGTAGTCGAGAGGGGCTGCTCTCTCGACTCTGTCACCGTACTGCATCCACTCGGTGCCAGCCACCGTATACCTCGCTCCACTGTCGAGCTTTACGTGTCTCCTCGCGCCCGACACTTCCATGATCGCAGTGGGGAGCCCGTCGTCCGCACCGATGTACTCTACGGTCTCACCTCGAACTGTCCTCTGCTCGACTTCCTCGCCGCGGTGCTGTACAAGGCTGACTCGTGCCGGCTTCCCTTGCTGCCGCACTCGTCCCTCGGCTTCGTCGCGCGCGCGTCGCAGTTTACGCTCTTCGAACTCCTTCACAGCTTCGTTGGCCACTCGCTGCCGCTCCGCCAGTCGCTCATCGCTGCCTTCTCGCGCTCCACGCTCCGTTTTCGAGCGAGTAGTATTTTGACGCGTTATCGTTTTGCGCGCTTACGGGCCTTGCGTCGCGCAACGCGTGCCCGATCGACTTCATCGCCGTCATTGGCGTCTTCGCCCGACTCACTACTCGATGCGTTCGTCTCATCGCAGTCCTTGGTCGCGCTCGATTCGCTCACCATGGACTCGTTCGTAGACTCGTCATCTACAAGCCTCTCCGTAGGCCCGGACACAGTCGTGCTCGTTGCCACCAAGCGCGTCTTAGCCATCCTTGCTGCTGACCGTATCGGCCGATGCCGCAGTGTGCTTCTCCGTCGGGAAGTCATCCTTCATTACCGTCTCGTCCGACCCCGCCGTGTCAGCTGTCATCGTCATCATCTCATTCGTCTCGTTCATCTGCGCCGTCGCGCCCTCATTCGTCATCACGCACATGTCCGTCATCACCGACATGCTCGTTTTCGCACTCGTCTTCAGCACCGCCGCCTTCGCCTCCAGAGGCACCGACTGCCGCTCGCAAGGACTGCTCGATCTCGTTGTGTCCTCGCTCGCCGCACTCGTCTGTGCGCCTCCTCCAGCACAGACCGGGTCCACGCCTTCTCCAGACAGCCGCTCGCCGTCGACGTTTCGTGCCGTCTCATTCTCGTCGCGTTGTTCGGACCGGTGGTCAGCACGCACGTATCGCGCGGCTGCCATCGCCGGATCCACGGTGGCTACTTAGATAGCCGCTCGCCCCCCGTCCTTCGCCTCTGCATCGTTCCTCATCATCTTCACGACCGAAGTCATGCCACCGTTGCACTGGTGCGTCCCGTCCGTCACCGTGTGCACAGGGGCACGTCTCGTCCTCGTCGTGCACTCAACGTTTTCATTCATCGCATTGGAGTTGGCCACGCGCGCCGCCTCCCTGTTCCGTTCATCGTCTCGTTCGTTCGTCATCCGCACAGTCCTTGCCTGCACGGCCGTCCTCATTCTCGTTGTGTTGGCCGCTTTAGCAGCCTTCACTGGTTTCCGTTCATCATCATCATCCGTCATCAGCTCCTCCAGCCGGGGAATTCCTCCTCGTTTCGGACGCCATACCCCCTCAATCGCGCCCGCTACTCGTTTTCCGCTGCCGTTCGTGGTTTTTGACCACGCAGCTCCAGATAAGCATCGTTGCGTGCTTTCGCATCAGCATCCATACACGTGTGGAGTAGTGCCCTCGCAGAAATCTCGCGAATGCGATCTCGCACCAATTGTAATTGCTGTTTTTTATTTGATAGTTTAACAAACAAACTCGGCGCGTCTGGATAGCAGTCGCGTTGAGCAAATTATTCCCGGTTGTTGGAGTAGCGTATCTTCGAAATACAGGCCCAAGTCTTCGCAGGCTTCGGAGTTGGGGGGTTCTTGTGTTGACGCTTGTTCCTTGTCGTAGGGCGTCGAGCCTTGGGCGTGCGGCGTTATCGGGCCGGCGTTTCCTCGGCGTTCCCGTCGGGCGTGCGGCGTTATCAGGCCGGCGTTTCCTGGGGCTTGTGTGGCGTTATCGAGCCTACACGGGGGGTCTTGTGCACGGCGGTTATCAGGCCGGTGCGGTCCTTCGCCTAGGCAGCGCGTTATCGGGCGCCCACCTAAACGGTATACGTTTAACGTGCCTTTGTTCCAGCACGGGTCTGTGGGGGGTGAGCACCCGAACCAGCAAACGACGGGGGGCCGCGATATCGAGGCGGCTCTACTTGCCGGCGTTTGGTGGTTCCCCTGGAACCTCGGAGAAGACGGGAGGTCTTTGTGGTTCAGAGAAATTTCGGGACTGAGTCCTTACCCTATCCTATGTCCTTGCTACTGGCTACTCTGTACTACTGCTTGCTAAGCCTACCGCTCTGGGCCTATCCCTACTTCTGTCGTGCTTGCACTGCCGTCCTTCAACCTGGTTTGCGTGGCGCAATCAAGATCTTACCTCGGCGCGTTTTGGTCGGCGGGGGTTAGGGTCGGCGCGTTTTGCAGAACCGGGTGCGCTGGTCGACCCGTCGGATGATTACGCGTCGCACTGGATTCTGGCACCGTGTCTCACGGCCCATCACCCACGCCGACTTTCCCGTCGAGCTTGGCCCTGCGTCGCGCCCATCAATCCGCGTCGCGTTCCATCAGCCGCGTCGAAGTCCATCACTCGCGTCCCGGCGCCTTCTTCCTCCGGCGCCCGGCGCGCCCACTTCTTCCGCGGGGTACTACACCACATTCGTCCCGCTGCCACGCACGCGCACTCCCCAGGTGGGTGTGTCGTCGCAGAACCTGCCCCGCGCCTTCGCTTCGTCTCGACACCATCGCGTTTTCTGCCCTCGCAGTCCGCTTCGCGGTACTTCAAGCTTCATGGCTCGCCGCCACGACGTCGACGTCAACGACATCGACCTGGAGGAAGAAGAGCTTGACACCGACGACCTAGAGGCCGCTGGCTGCGCGGTTTGTGCCCTCGGCGCGCATCGTCCTCGCCTCCCCTTCGCGCCCCAAGTCCAGCTTCCGGCATCAGGCGCCCCCGTCCACTCGGTGACTGCTCTTGTCGCCGACGCGCACACTCTCCAGCGCGAGAACCAGGAGCTGCGCGCCCAGTACGAACTCGTCTCAGCGCACAATGCGGGCTTGGCTACTCACGCGTCCGGGCTGCATGACCGCAAACTCGCGATCTTGCATCGTGCTCGCGAGGGTTATCGCGCAGGCATGATCCGGCTCGAGCAGGCGCTCCTCTCCCGGAAGCGCGGCGAGCGGGACTACGCCGTCCTGGAGGACCGAGTGGCCGACTTCCGTGCTCAGTACTGAGCGCGCCGACGCTGCCGAGGCTCTACTCCGCGCCGAGCGAGGCTCCTCGACAGAGCAATATCGTGATCTTCAAGCTCAGCTCCGGGCGGCACGAGACCAGGTCACTGACTTGACTGCCCAACTCGCGCGCGCTCCTGCTACGCCGCCTCCCTCCACCCTGTCGCTAGCGCGGCAGTTTGCTGCACAAGGCTAGCGCACCGAGCGTGACGACCTTCGCGTCGACCTCGCAGCCGCCCAAGCTGCCCTCGCTCCTGTCCAAGCGCGAGTGGCCGCCGCCGAAGCTGAACGAGATCACATGCGGCAGCTCGTGGCCACTGCCGAGCAGCAGCGCGACGCCGCTCTCGCCGAGCGTGACTGCGTGACCCGCGTTCTCATGGTCGTCGAGCAAGCGCGTGACGGGGCCCTCGACATGCGAGATCAAGTGCGTCGCGCCTCCACGACCCTGAGATGCGAGCGAGACGCTGCTGTCACCGAGAGGGACCGGGCACGTCAAGCCGTGGCCGCCCTTGAGCAGCGGCGAGACGCTGCCGTCGCCGAGAGAGATCAGGCTCGTCAGGCCTTGACCGCTCTGGAGCAGCAGCGCGCCCCTGTCGACGAAGAGCTCCGCGCGGCCCGTGCGTCGCTTTCTCAGAGCCGCATGGAGATCGAGGCGGCCCAGAACCTGAACGTCCCGCTGCAGGACGACCTTCGGCGCGTCAACGCGCTCTTAGTGGCCCACGCCGAGGAGCTCCGCCGCGGCGCGACGCGTATCCACGAGCTGGAGGAGTCAGTGGCTACTGCTACGACTCTCCGTGTGGCCGCCGAGTCCGAGATGGCGCGGGCACAAGCCGGCGAACTTTGCGCCACATCTCGCGCGGCGCAGTATCGAGCTGGGTGGCTGTCCATGCGGCGGTCGTCTCAGCAGCGTCGAGGAGCAGGCAGCGCCCAGACCCATCGTCTCAGCGCTCGCGTCGCCGAGCTGGAGGAGGAGCGCGACTTGGCCATCCGAGAGAGCGACGAACGCGCTGTGACTTGGTGTCGGATGCTTTGAGACGCGCGTCGGGGCCGAGAGCTGGCGCGGCGGGTGCGCGACGAGCTTGCTGATCGTCTCGCCGGCGTCGTAACGCGTGTAGGCGGGCAGATCGACACCGCTGACCTGGTCAGGCGACTCGAAGCTACTTTCACGGCGGAGATCGACTGTGCGATACCCCTCCCCCTGCTATTCCTACGTCAGCAGCAGTCCCTGTGCCATCCGTGGTTCCTGTTCCTGCTCCAACTGCGTCGAGCTCTGGTGCCCGGGCGGGCTCGTCGGCTTCGACGGCGGGCTCGACGACTGGCGCTTCCCCTCCAGCAGGTCCTTCGGGCTCCCGTCCTGTTCCGACTTCGTCCGCTGCCTCGTCCTCGTCGGGTTTTCGGCGACCTCGACACGGCGCGTCGAGTCGTTCGGGTTCTCAGTCACGCGCGTCTAGGCCGTCAGGAGTGGCGTCCGCTACGTCGTCTGGTTCTTCGCCCCTTCGACGTAGTCGACGGCTCTCTACCGTGGCCGACACTGCGGCCTCCGACAACGCCGCTGCGCAGGCCTCATTTGCAGCTACGCCCTCTGCGGCCGCTGCAGCTGCAGCGCGCGCACGAGAGGACGCGTCGCTCTTCGGCTCCGAGTCTTCGGACAGCGAGGACCAAGCGCGGCGAGCTCAGTCCAAGCGCCGCCAGCTGCATAGCCCCGGGTCTCGCTCACGGTCGCCGGCGCGTCCGCCTCCACGTTCGCAGTCACGTTCCCGGACACCCCCGCGCTCCCATTCTGCTTCGCGTTCCCGCTCGTCCTCTCGTTCGCGTTCGCACTCGCCTCCACGCTCGCCCT